CAATCCAGAGGGCACTGCTGTTGTGCACACATTGTCTTGCTCAGAACTCAAGGAATTGAATACAGATAGGCAACCTCTCTGTGTAAAAGATTCTTCCACTATTTATTTACCATTTCACTCTGGGCCAGAACAACACTCTCTATTATTGTGTCTCCGTAGGACCTGGAGCCAAATAAATGGGGATTTATTAATAAGTATAATAATAACAAACAGTCCTCATTTTACCGACCTGGGAAGAATGGAAGGCTGAGTCAACCTTGAGCTGGTGAGAATCGAACTGCTGGCAGCTGAATTAATCTGCAATACTGAATTCTAACTACTGTGCCACCATGGCTTAGATGTTGGAAAACTCTTATGTCACTCCTTGCCCTTCTTTTATTAAACTATCTATATACAAACTCATGGGAAGCCCAACTGCTTGAGCTACTTAAATTAGCCAGAGATCATGATGTGCTGTTCTAAGCTTTTTTTTTTAATCAAATGGGAGGTCAGTTCATACCCTCAGCCTTTGAGGTATTTCAAGGCAAAACAACACACAATTTTTATACAGCCTTTGTCTCTGAATATTTACATTATTTTAGGAAAACAAAATCCAAACAGGGAGAGAGGGGTTGTGCACTCCTCACTGTGCCCCAAACATTACTCAATGCCAGTGGTTGTCAATCTCAGCAACTTTAAGATACGTTGAACTTCATCAGTCAAAATTCCTCAAGGGAAGTTGATGTTCACACATCTTAAAGTTGCTCTGGTTGAGAAACTGTTCTATCTGTTAAAGTTGTATGTCTTTAGAAACCTGGTTTTGGCAAAATAGACTTCTGCATTCTTGAAGATTTTATTGTGCCCAGAATGTTTAACTCCATTAACATTATATGATCAACATCACTCTGGATAAGTCCTCTGGAAGGAATCCATGGGGTAGGGCTTCTCACTATCTTCTGTGGCATTTGTGGTCAAAGAAGTCATGAAACAGCAAATTTGGGACATGGATAAAATAGTATTAGCAATGGCCAAAGCTGTGCAACTGGAAACGCTATCAAAAACCACTGTTCTGCCCTCTTACATTTTTGATGTCTTCATTCCAAGGCATTGCTATGTATTCTTAGTAGCCAGAGTAAATATTCTACCTGCTGCACTTATGCAAGTTTTTCAGATGCCTTCTCTTCAGAAGGACTATGTCATTGTTTCTCAAAGTCTGTCAAGTCAATGCCACAGGTTTTATTATAGTGCTCTTTTTATAAGGATCACTGATATTGACACCACTTTTTAGTAAATTCTCAGGTGTATCTTAGTCATTTTATGTCATTTTCTTTTTATCAGATTCAAAGTCAGATTTACTTACAAGATGTGTACATTTGTTTCTGTTTTTATGCTCACCAAGAAGGTAATGGTGTCAGGTCGTTTCTTCCAGGCATTTCATAGAGCCATCTGATATTGCTTGAGGGCCCTTTTTTAGGTCTCTTGTACTGGAGAACCAGTTCAATTAATCTTTCATGAGTTCTTCTTCTGTTATGTTATAGTTTGTTGAAGCCCTGAAAAATTGTTCTGCATAAAAATCATGTAGACATTTGAACAAGTATATCTTCATGTAAAAGAAAATTTAATATGGGCTATACATCGGCACAGCACTTAAGTGCACCAAGAATTTCTCTTTTCAATTAAAATGTAGGTTTTTAATAAAGGTTTTGATTAAATACATACACAGTCAGGAATAGAAACATAAATATCTGTTTGGATTGCTGTGGAAGTAAATAATGAATAGCCACTTAAATAGGTTCTGCCAAAATCTGTTAGCATCTGCCTAAAAATTTCCACAAAAAGGCATGTCTTAAAAGTTGTGATCAATTTATATATCTATGCTGTATATACACATACTGTATATACATACTTAGAAAAGTCAATGGAAAATATTTTACATATATCTCTCTCTGTGTGTGTGTGTGTGTTTATATATATATATATATATATATATATATATATATATATATATATACACACACACACACACATACACACACACACACATACATACACACACTATATATGATATGCTTGCATATTAGGCTTGTATTAGGTACAAGCCCAGGTTTGAATCCCAGAAGGGTATGGCTAGTTGATGAGAGCTAAATAGCTTGAAATAGATCTATACTAGTCTCCTTTATTTCTTTGTCAGTAAATATAAATTTAACACATGACAAAATAGTTTGTCGTGAATGCAACTGCCTGAGGGCTTCTGGATTGGGGCTGAAAGGCGAAAAGGAAGAAGTATACTCCTTCCCATACTTGAGTAGACCAGGTTGCTTCGATAGAAAACCCATTTAATCTTCTCTGGTACAAGCTGACAAAGCGAGAAGAACCGGTGGCTTAGAGGTTAATACATTTGCTTAATATGGAAACAAGCCCAGGTTCGAATCCCAGAAGGGTATGGCTCAGGGGTGAAATGCTCCAGGTTTGGACTGGCTCGGGCGAATAGGTAGCGATGGCTGCAGGCAGTTTGAAGAACCGGTAGCAAAAATCCCTGCCCCCGCCCCCATGCCCAGCTGAGCCCTGCAATCATCAGAGCCTTTTTTTCCTTTTAAATGGCTCTGACCAGCCAAGCTCTGACATCCCAGCTGAGTTTCCTGCTAATCAGGCAATTCAGCTTGGATCGCCAGAGCCATGTAAAAGAAAAAAAGTTTCTTTTTTTCTCCCCCCCCTCCCAGCCTCCAGCTTGCTTACCTTAGCTGCTGATCGCATGACGATCGCAATCCATGCATCAGCAAGCAACTGAATCTCCCTGCCTGCAATCAAGCTCATCGGTGAGCAGCTCTTTCTGCCTGCCTGCCTTCCAGCCTAGACTTGTGGACTTCAACTCCCAGCAAAGCTGGCTGAGGAATTCTGGGAGTTGAAGTCCACAAATCTTAAAGTTGCCAAGGTTGGAGACCCCTGTTCTATTGGGTAAGTTTTTTCCCCCTTTGGGAGTTTAAAAAAAATAGTTAATTGGGATTTTTTTAGTTGTTCTTTTTTTAGACCTAGCCATTTAAAGTTTAGGAAGTTTTAAATTTAGCTGCTTTTATATAAAAATAAAATAAAATAAAATAATATTTGTGCAGCTTTCTGAGATTTAGTGTGTTTCTGTAGTGTTTCAATCTAACTACACAAACACACAAAATCTCACAAAGCTGTATGTGGAATTTTGTGTGTGTAAAGTGTGAAAGTTGGTTTTTGGGCTTTTTGTGGTGTGTGAGGTTCCTGCTTGTTGCAGGGGCCATTTTGGGTCTAGCACAGCTGCTTTTACATTGTGGGTGAGCCAGTTGTGTTGTGTTTTGTAGGTTAAAAAAGGGCAAAGAAGTGACATTGACTTGGCCACACCCACCCAGTCACCTTACCACCAAGCCCCGCCCACATTGTGTTGTGTTGTGTTGTGTGTGTAAAGTGTGAAAGTTATTTTTTGGGCTTTTTGTGGCTGTGTGAGGTTCCTGCTTGTTGCGGGGCCATTTTGAGTCTAGCACAGCTGCTTTTACATTGTGGGTGAGCCAGTTGTGTTGTGTTGTGTTGTGTAGGTTAAAAAAAGGGCAAAGAAGTGACATTAACTTGGCCACGCCCACCCAGTCACCTTACCACCAAGCCCTGCCCACTAATTAAGCCACGCTCCCAGAACCGGTAGCAAAAAATTTTAGATTTCACCCCTGGTATGGCTAGCTGATGAGAACTAAATAGCTTGATCGTCTTCCATTGAGATCTGTTGGTCAAATAACCTCTCTATGGCTGAAGAGAAAAGTTTTTAATCAGTGAGTGCTACCTGCTTTAACATATAGACACTAACCTCACAATTGATACAAAAACTGTCACAAAAAGCCACGGAGAGATAAATGCTCATCATTACAAGACAAGATAGAAAGACCTGCACATGAATTAGAGAACAAACAAAAGTGTTCTCTTTCATTTAACATCAAGACAGTAAAAGAATTGAAATGGAAATGGGCTGGTCACATAGCAAGAAGAACTGATGGCAGGGGGACCAAGGCAGTCATCGAATGGATCCCACTTGATAGAAAGCGTCCAAGAAAGAGACCTAAAACAAGATGGATTGACGACATCAGCAAGTATTGCAGGCCCAATTGGACTTATATTGGTTAGATACAGGACTGTATTGGTTAGAAACATGTGGAAGAGGCCTTCAGCCTGCAGTTTATAGACAATGGCTAAAATGATGAATGATTGTACATACATATTAGCAGTACTGTGTGGACTGGATTTTGAAATATATATGTGGGTATATTCGGGAAACACAGAGTTGGCTGATCTTTCATTTACTAGATAGTACAACCATTTTTACGTCATCCTTGTATAGAAAACTTGACTTTTTAAAATTTACAGATATGAATTTGCTTATATGAAAAAGGAATATCTGCAGGTTAAAATATGTCAAGATGGCAGCCATGATAGTGAGATAAAAACTTCACCTGTTCTTAAATGTGTCCATTTTTTCACCATTTCCTGCACATCCCTTGATATTCATTTTTATTCAATAGCTGTTTGGCCACAATTATGTTATATAAATTAAAGTCTGTCTCTTTAATTCATACAACTTAAGAGTAACCAAGGATTGTTTTATTTTACTCTAAATGTGCTTCATTAATCTATTTTAAAAAGTCTACCTGATTTAAAACAGAAGCTGCACTTTAATGTTTCCAGCAAGAATGAATCAACTTGCTTATTCCAAGTACACAATGGTACATCAGGTCAAAAGCTTAATTAGCTTCTTTTTTATGTGGGTGACTCAGCAGCAAAAACCTGGTCCCCTTTAAAGAAAATAAGACTCTTTCTCAGTCAATCAGGGATGCACTTAACTTGCAAACATAACACACACAAATTCCCACTGAGCTGTAAACGTGCCCCTTTTATAATTTAAGCGGTTAAGCATAAGAAATGTGCTTTGCTTTTAGTTGATGTTGCTGCTTAGAGCAGGAACTTACAGTCCCAGAATGATTAATTAGGCACAAATGGAGGATGCAAAAACACACATTCACATAATTTATTTCAGAGCAGGAGAAATATTATTATCAATATTCCATTCAGCAGCAGCAAAGGAGATTGGGGACTGAGAAATGCATCTGAATAATGCCCCTTATTTAAGATTGAGTAGGCTTTGTCCTTGTGGGCATGAGAAAAGTGCAGCCATATTTTTTATTTTTTTAGAAGGAGGGTAGAAAGTGTTCTCAGGAAAGGCTAACATTGTCTCCTCCCTGTTGAGGCTGCCATTCAGCAATGCAAGCTGATATGCTGGTCCATTTTATTAAACAGCAAGGATTTTTCAACTCTAAATACAGCTTCTTGTACACACCTGCATAGCTAGGATATCTTAAACTCTGGTGAATGTTGACCATAGTTCTTATCCAATTGCAAAGTGGTTAAGTGTGTGTGTGTGTTTTATCTTTTTATGCAGTCATCTCTTCAGTAATATGAGGCTGCTGTGGATTATGCAATTCAGTGAAACTCCAAGAAGAGACATCATCAGAAACCCCATGGGACCTTTGCCGATTGTACCAGTAAACAACTAGGAGTCTGCATCATAATGACAAAACTGTAATAAAAAAATGAACAGTTATAGCTTCCAGAACTATAATGTAAGAATGAACACAGCATGAACAGAAATTTAAAAGAACCATGAGAATAGAATAGAAAAGAGGAGAATAACAAACCTTATAAAAAAAACTGAAGGATATATTTCACCATATACTTATTAATTTTAGGAGATACATTTTCTCTTCTTCATATGAATATATGAACAATCAGATCATACAGATCACTGGATTAGGTCAAAGAATTATCTGCTCAAGCATTATGTTCTCAGAGTGATCAACCAGAGGTCTCCAGGAAATCCAGAAGAAAGCTGCAGGCAAATCAGTCAATCAATTGATCGATCGATCAATCAATCAATCAATCAGTCAGTCAATCTTATTATTTTGCTCCCCAGAAATTGACATTAAGGCATATTCTTGCTATTATCAAAATAATATTTACTATTTCCTGTGGTAGAGCAGTTCCATGTAGGCATGGAAACTTACTTTTCTTATCACCTAGTTCTGTTTCTGGTTCCATACAATAATCCTATGTATCTTTCTCTTTATCCTACGTGATGCCACCTTTGTCTACAGCTATTATACATTTCAGTCCTTTAAAACATGGAAATTAGAAATATTTTGAAGGTGGATGGAAGGGGCTAAACAAAACACTGCCAGAAAAATGAACTAAGAATGATAAAAGGAGAGACTGCTAGGAGAGCTAGAAATGTATATGCAAATTATTGTAAACTGTTAAGAGTAGAATTGAAATGAATCCAATAAATGTTAGTGTTCAATAAAATATGACAGGGAAAAATATGTCATAAATGTTGTGAGAATGATGAAAAATGGAAAGATTGCTGATGTAATGGGGTAACTGGAGAAACATTAACATTTGGATAAGGCTTGCTTGTTTAATACTGTATGTGTATGAAGGCTGCAACTGGTCCGACAGTTGTCACTTTTGTTCCCATACTGAAAAAGAAAAATACCAAAGACTGTTATGTATATAGTTTTGGTGGGAGATTTAAAAGACAATGGGTCCATTGTGATTGGTCAGCTTCCTGACAGGCAAGGTATATAAAAGGAGCTGTGTTACTGTAACCTTTGCTGAAGTTCACACTACCTTGGTTCTGCCTCCTCAATTGCCCAACTTAACAAAGACTATGATAAATTAGTTTTTTTTAGTGTGTGTGATGTTTTGCAGAGCTCTCATTGAAAGCACAGGATCTTCAGATAGCTTCATAACACTAAAATAGATGCCCATTATTGAAAGGATACAAAAGGCAACAATGAACACAATTTGTAAAGTACAGTATGTTAGTCAGGATGTGTACAGATAGGTCTTGCTCTTCAGTAGGTCCTTTCTTGTGTGTTTGTTGATATAATGAAAGCACGTGATAAAATGGTTGGGTTGAAGGGTTGAACTGTGGAACATTTTGTATGGAGCTGAAGGGTGGTTGCTGAACGGCATAAGAATGGTATAAAACTGAAGGAAAAATGCATTGTGTCTGATCCATCATTGAATGGGAATGAAGATAAAGATGAATGATATCTCCTTGTTGTTTTAATGTATTTATGGATAAATGTGTAAGGAATTCTTATGTTTATTCTAGATAGGTATGTTGACTGGACATATGACAAGGCTATGCTGTAGGCCAGGAGTCAGCAACCTGTGGCTCTGGAGCCGCATGTAGCTCTTTCACCCCTCTGCTGCGGCTCTCCCTCACTCAAAATATGCATCACAACCGCCAATGTGTGACACCCACCGGCATGCAATTTATTGAGCTTTTCAACCCCTGGTAGGCCAACCATGGATAAATCCAAGAAAAGAAAAGTTTCATAAGAAAACAGAACATTTAATTCAACTACATATGCTACTTTTGTGGCCGCTCAAGAAATAGTCAGGCACGGGATGGGTTTTATGGCTCCTAGTGTTTTCTTTTCTGTGGGAAACGGGTCCAAATGGCTCTTTGAGTGTTTAAGGTTGCAGACCCCTGCTGTAGGCTGACCCAATTCAAACCCAAATGATTTGCAGTCGTATGTTATATTCTGAGCCTCTCAAAGTCATGCATTAGAATGACCTTTCCTTTCCTTTCCTTTCCTTTCCTTTCCTTTCCTTTCCTTTCCTTTCCTTTCCTTTCCTTTCCTTTCCTTTCCTTTCTTTCCCTTTCCTTTTCCCTTTCCTTCCCTTCCGTTCCGTTCCCTTCCCTTCCCTTCCCTTCCCATTCTATCCCATCCTTTCAGTTTCCTTGGTTTACTAATGCTTGCTCCCTTCCTATGGTATGCATGATATCGATCAATTCAACATGGAATAATGTGATGAGTTTGTTTGTATATATGTAGGTATTGCTGTGTATAAATTATGAGAAAACATACATGTGGTGTGGTAAGGGAAAACCAAATAAAACATTTAAGAAGTAAAAATCTGTGATCTGATCCATTCTGACATCTCTTCTCTCTGTATCTTCCATCTACAGCAGGGATGTCAAACTCACGGCCCGCGGGCCGGATGCATCACTTGCTAGTCACGTCCAACCCCAGTTCAGCAAAGGGGAAAAAAGTCCCGATACGTTAAATGACAACGACATGACAACTTGAGTTTGTCACTCCTGATCTACAGTGGAAGACAAAAAGAGGGAAGACAAAATGTCTAATGATATCATGGGAATGTCAACACTTAAAAAATGGCATCATTTGTCTTTAATGGTAGCATTTGTGTGGTGAAGTAAACACATGCAGGTTGTAAATTTGGCATTGTTATGGTTTGCTGCGGAGCCACGGATCTTGTTGTTATTGCCCTATTTGGAAACATGCTGCCCCAACCTTGTTGCAGATTCTTGCTGAAGTTCGCAAATTGGTTTGATTGATTGTCTCTTTCACTATAATTTCATGCCATTTTTCTCTTGGAATTGAATTTGGTACTCCAGGGAACAGCCTTTATTTTATCCTCAAAACAACAAGCCTGACTTGGTTCTGGCATATTGACTGGATAAACTTATGCAATCCTTTTTAGTCTCAGTCCCATAACTTAACCATCACACCACACTGATTTTGTTCTCAATATAGCATTTGAAATTACACAGATAATGGACTTATTCACCTGCTCTGCCTTCTTACGGAGAAACTAAAACAAAAAAATCTTGTTTTCTAAACTTTAATTTTTTGCATATATTCCTTAGATTCTCAAGTCTACTGTTTACAATAGTTAATTGTACAGGCAAATAAATTGGAAGTCAACATTTTGAAGAAATTCACACATTATAAACGTACAATGGGAAAGAAAATAATCTGAGATGTAATTTGTTTAAGATATGCCCTAAATGTAATGCCTAAACACATAATCTAAATTTTGAAATAATCAGAATAATATTAGTATTTGTAAACTGCAGCCCAATCTTAATCATGTATTTTCAGCCATCTGAAGCTCATCTTGAGGCTGTTTTCTGCTACAAAGAAAGATGAACCGTTAAGAGATTTATATCATTTAGGAAATTGAGATTTAAAATCCTGGCAGATGGCTGAATTGGGTTATCTGGACAGTTAATTGATAACAGAAGCAATTAATGTATCTAGTTCAGCCTAGCAAGAAAACAAAGAAGAAAGCAAGAGAAAGTGAATGATTTTAAATATATTCATAATATGCTGTGGAGGAATTATCCTTTGGGTGTACTCTCCCATTGTTCTGCTTTTTAAAAAAAATTCTACTAATATTCAGGAACAAAAGTTGTTGTTTTATTAAAACAATAAAACTTAAAAGTAGTTGTGCTACTCAAAGAAAAAGAAAAAGACATATGTCACCAATCACTTTCCAATATTTCTGGCATTAAAGAGTTAATTGGGTAAAAGAATGAGGCAATAATCTCTGCCTTCTTGAGCTATGATTCCAGACAAAGAAGGAACTCAACTATTAGTACAAGCCTCTTTCAGCCTTTCTGAGTTTCTAGATTTGGCAATATATTAGAAATAGAAGTTTTGTCTGTGTCCTTCAATTAGGGAGACTGCAAATGTTATTGACAACATAATTAAATGGGTTAGGAAGGATGTTAACAATCACAGAAGCCTAGAATTAAAGAGCAGAAAGTAGCCATTTAGGCCATCAAACTCATGCTTAATGCAGGAATCAAGATTAAAAAAACAAAAAACAAACCCTGCAGATGTCTGTCTGGATATAAAGGGGAGGCTACAATCTCTCTAGGCAATTGATTCCATAGCCTTTGTGTTCCAAATGCTATGTAGTTGCTTCTATTATTCATTTGGAAATTGTCTTTGTGTAAATTTATTTTTATATATTTATTTATTGCATTTATATACCACTGATATCAGGTTCAACTCCCAGCAGTTTACAAGATGGCTGACAAAACAGAAATAAAATCAAGAACAAAAACAGCAAGCCCATTATTCTGTACCTTGCACTCTGGAACACGGGTAACAGGTCTTGACCTTCATCTGTATAACATCTTTTCTGATACTTGAAGAGTGCTGTCACATTCTCACAAAAAAGAGTGTTGCTCTAAATGCATTGAACAGGATCCTCACAGATAATCAGCTTTTCGTAGTTTTGTTTTCTAGTCACTAAGCAACAGCGATAATAGAGTGAGATAAGCCTGATGCCATATGGGAAAACTAATTTAGTAAGGCATTGCACAATGACAACGCAATGATGTTTTGGTTAAATGGCAGATGCCTCATTAGTAGTTATTTATTTAGTTCTTTTTGCTTTCGGATCCTGCTCTTTTCCCATTTTCTGAGCTTGCCTCTCAAACTCTGGAATAAACAGTGCAAACTTGAATATCAGTCTGTAAAAAAAAAAAAAAAGTTATATTCCAAAACATTAAAATGTTCAGACGGTTTCAAGTTGATCTGAAACATCTCATCTAATGAAGACCTAATATGTCTAAAATGTTTTTCCCTTATTCTCCCTGCCCTAAATAACAATATTACTTTAACAAAATTATTTTTCTCAGATATCCACCATCATTTTTGGAAAACAGATTCTTGACATTGAGGATAATGCAAACTGGATTTGGCCAAATAGCCAAGAATGTTTCTGAAAAAGAAAATCAATTGTGCTGTCACTGTCTTTAAGGGAGAGTCTTATTTCCAAGAATAAGCAGTCGGACAATTTCCTACCCTTGCTAAAGCCTGGTGAAATTCCATCTCTTCATTTTTAAACCCTTAAACTCAGAGACAATAATTCAAGTGGTTATTTGTATGCAGTCCTGGATTTTGCATTATATCAGCCCAGATTTATTTATTCATTCATTCATTCAAATTCAATCTCATCTTTGTGACCTTTTTCAATTTTGTATAACATGTGTATAGAATTAGTATGATTGTTATGCAAATGTACACCCACGTTAAAATGGAACAGCAATTTGATACCTACAAGCCTTCCTGAATGGGGATTTTTATTTGTATGGATTATAAAGAATCTGGGTTTGAAATCTGAGCAGTTGCAAAGTACATCTGTTTGGCAGTAATTCTTACTATTCAATGTCAGAATTTTCAGGCATTTTCTACGGGCCAGGACTCTTAAAATTTTAAAAATTCCAGAAAATGTCAATATGCACAAAGGGTTTCCTATTTACCATATAGTTGAATTGTATTTTAGGTTCCAAAATATTGAAACCCACAGGGGAGATTACCAAAGCAATTATACTCAGAGAGATATCTGTGCTTCTTTGAATTGAAGTCTCTGATACACTCTTCCCCCAACCTGATGCCCTCCAGATGTGTTGGATCTCAGTTCCTATAAATTCCAATGGGCATGGCCAAGATCTCTGCTGGCTGGAGTGTGGAGGTTGAAAACCAGCACATCTGGAGGGCAGAACTGCTGTAAACATTGAACAGGTAGAGTGCTTTTCACATTGATCCAATTATAAATGTAACTGTGGGAAAATAATAAGATAGCAAAAGCTGCCCATCATGGAAGTCATTTAATCTTTTCCTCTTAATTATTTTTTCCCCCTGGAGGGATTCATTATTTTTTAACATGTTGCTCATAAAATCAGATTACCATTATCTTTCTGACTAATGTTTAAACACCATGGTGTAAATATTATTGTCTTACTGGTTAATTTAGTTATCTTTATGTGGAATCCATTCTCCAGCATCATTATCATAAGTATTTATTTATTTTTTTAAAATAATTTCTATTAGACAGCTTTTTAAAAAACAAAAAAGAAATTTTTACAATTTTCTTGTTTTCAACATTTTCGCATTAGTAAACATTTCTTACATATCCATTTTTCTCCCTTACTTCAATTTACCATTTATACATATGATTCTAATATTGATTTATATACATAAAGATTACAAAGTACTCAATTTCAATCATACATTTTATGTCCATTCCATTTCCACTTGTTTGTTACTACATTTCAACTCCTATATCTTCCTCATTTACTCTTTCCTTGCCCTTTATACCTCTCTTCTAACCATTCATACCATTTCTCCCATACCATGTAGTATCATAGTATGTAATATCGTAAGTATTTATTTCACCTTGAACTGAACCATAGCTAACAGGCAATAATCAACTGCTTGTGTTTCCTGTTCTCACACATCAGTGATTTTTCCTCTCTGTCCATAGAACAAATGTGCTGTTAGGTTATTGTTTCTTAATTTACACTGGAACATCTAAGTCAATGTTGGTTTCTACATGGCATTTCTGCTGTCCAGGTACAGATATAAATCTGTAGGAAAATTCAGGTGTGTTAATTGAAGAAAAAGAAAGCTCTTGATAGATAATAATTTTAGAGAAGTGAGCAGCTTAGAGCATAGCATGTGACTTCCATCCCTCTTGTGATTCCCAGAGCAACTTGAGATTTTGCCACTGAACAATGTCAGTTCAATTTCCAGGCAATTTTTGATGGAAAACAAAAACTGGAAAAGAAACCTGATAAATAACAAATACTAATGTATTTGTTTACATATTTCGAAAAGACAGAGTGGCACTGGGGAATCTTATTAACATTTTAAAAACACTTTTAAAATATTAAGTCCCACCTTCACTTGCCCAGTTGGTGTCTTTACAATACTGTCCCATCTGCTGCTGCTCTCAGCTGCTAACAATTATTTTTAGTGCAATCTCCGCCCTTGAAAAATGTGCATGTCCTAGAAAGCTTTCTGTTCCAAGTAAAGAGATGTATCTTACTAGAGGAGTCACATGTTTCTTATGGTCAAATTCTTATAAAGTATGACAGAGTTCATGCTTATCTTTGTAAAGAATCTAATCTTTGTTACCAAGTCTTCCCTCTGCAAGTAATTCCAGCAAAGGAATTGTCTAATAAGGTGTCACAACTGGAGTCACCACATAAAGTTTCATTTAAAAAAACCCACAAACTATTTTTTTTTTTTTGTCACAGCTTCAACAGATCTTAGCAGTGGTGATGTGATCCTACACAAAAGAAAAGATTGAAGAATTTGTGTTAGGACCTAAATGAGCTGGTGACTCATCCACCTTCTCAGTCAGACTGGTGGAGCATTAAATCAGGTGAAAATATTAAAGTAACGTGGTTCATATGCTGATTACTACACAATAAGAATAAAAATAAATATGAACCATTGTCAAGCACCCAAATTTTGATCACGTGACCATGGGGATGCTGCAATAGTCATAAGTGTGAAAAATGGTCATAAGTCACTTTTCCAGTGCCATTGTAACTTTGAACAGTCACTAAACAAATGGTTGTAAGTCAAGGACTATCTGTATTCTATTCACAAATAGGTCCCATCTAGTCACACATGCACACAGATCCAGCTACCATTACCGCTTCTCGGAAGGCAAATTACTAAGGTTACCTTTGTCCTTTTTAGAGAGGGGATTTCAAACTTATTCAAACACAGTAATGAGCACCTTTTAGTTATGTTAAGGATATTAATGGACCCAAATGAGTTCCAGAGGCACTCTTGGAAATAAAACTTCTCCCCACCCTCTTTTTTTTGTAGCATATCAGCTATCCATTTAATTTTTTGAAATTAAAAAGCTAAGTACAGGGACAAATATAAAAAGGAATTTATTCTTTGGAAAATAAAAAAATAGTTTGGAAATGCTCTGTAAATGGGGGGGGGGGGGTCCCCAAGAGAACAAAATTTGCATAGAATCCCAGATGAATTGATCACTTGTTATCCATGTGCTTTTCACTAATTTCAAAGATAGAAGCAGACATACTCACCATGTAGGGAAAATGCAGGAATACAAAGAGTGAGAGCTAAACAAATTAAAAGCTCCTAAACTTTCTTACCAGTACAGTTGAAGACCTTTTTTTCATCATTAATGAGCCTTGGAACTTGTTGTAACTTGTTGCTGTATCCTTACAATTTATATTGATTGTTTCCTAGCATGATTTGATTGCTTAGTTGTACCCTATGACTATCATTAAGTGTTGTACCTTATGATTCTTAATGAATGTATCTTTTCTTTTTATGTACACTGAGAACATATGCACCAAAGACAAATTCCTTGTGTGTCCAATCACACTTGGCCAATAAAGAATTGTACTGTATTATTCTGAATGGCTGAAGAAAGCATGCTTTTCTGTTGAAGAATGCTTGATATATGATAACTTTACTTGGATCAGAGTCTTCAAACCCAGGGTCTTCAGGCAATTTGTAAATAATATTTTCATTTGGATGACTCGGAGTCACTTATTTGCACTAGATGCTTATTTACTCTGAGCATCTGGCTGTCCACTTCGAACAAGTTTAGGCAATCTCTTAATACCTTTGTCACAGCAGCTTAAATTCAAGAAATGCACCTTTGATCTAGCTGTAATTTCTCCTTAAGAACTAAGAGGGTTCCAGATAAAATATAAGCTGTTCTGCTTTGGAAATATCCCCCCTACTGCTATTCTATCCAAAACAACCTATTTTGAGCTTTGACCATTTTTACTGGAAATCTCCTAATTTTCTGATGCTATTGACTACTGCATTTTTAAAAGATAGGGATTTCTTTGAAGTGGAGTTCTGATATGTCCCAACTATACCTTTGCTCAGTTACTCACATCTCAGTCCACCCTGCATTCATCCAGATCCTACCTACTCTCTTCATGTGCAGGCGGATGCTTTTGACTTTACCTTGGGAACTGTATCATACAACATGTTCCAGTTCTTGGCTACTGTGTGTTATTTTCCAGGCAGCTCCTTCCAGCCAAAAGAACCATGAAAGTTTTAATAAGTAGTGTTGGATCTCCAAAAAACCAAAAACAAAACCCCATGCTCAGCATTGACACTATCTCCTCAAAGGGCTAAACAATTGTGTCTACACGGATCACAAGAATTTGTAATACAAACACTACAGATTCTTGCAGTGCCACTTCAGGTGGTTCAGGGTTTTTCCTATTTTAACTTCTATATTTCTTACATTCCCAGCTTTCAGATGAAGCAGGCAGATTATTTTACTACATAAATCATATTTCCTGCCTATCTCTGTTCTGCACTAATAAAACTTTGCCTTTGCCGTCCAATATCTGGCTTGCTGGGTGGGGTTCTTGGGATCAGAAGAAAGATTCATTTCCTATCTGATCAAATTGTTAATAAGCTACAGGAACCATATGTCAATTTAGCAATAAATAAATATGTACCATC